TGCGTACGTAGCACATCAAGATTTCTAAAAAAGGAAGGGTATTATACTACTACGTATAACTATTAACTCAGGAGGGTTAAATAAATGAGTTGATTTAGCTCTAAAAGCTACAGGAAGAAATGAGATATGCAGATGGAAAAGAGGTATCATATCAAATATTTAGTAGCAGAAAATACGAGATTAGTCAAAATGAACAATTAATCATTTGACAAAATGAACAATTAATCATGTGACAAGATGGTCGATAATTTTATGCAAGAAAGTTAAGTATTCGATTTTAATAATATAAAGATCTCTTCGACACTTTACTAACATACTTCCTTTTTTTATTCATAGAGATTGTCTAAAGCCAGATAGTTTTTAAATTGATTACTGACAAATTTATAAATTAAAAATTATGTGATGAGTATAAATTACTATCTGGCTTTAAACAATTCTTGTTCTTAGTATAAAATCAAGAGGAAAAGCTCTGACTTTATTGAAGTCAACTTATCAAAATTTCCAAACAAATTAATCCGTAAGTTATGAAAGAGATACAATTCGAAGTCATATAGTTGTCTATATGACTTTAAATGATTTCTCTTTCGTAACTTACATATTAATTTGTTTGAAAATTTTGATAAGTTACTTAATAATATCTATATTTTTAAAAAAATGAAGTGATTTTTTTTATTAATTTAAAATTTTGTTAAAAAATCTGGTATTTTACTATAGATTTTCTGTTGATACACGAAAAATTTCTCATACGTACGGGTCTATACGTACATATATTTGATTTACATAGCAGATAGTACGTACTAAATAATAAAAAATCTAAAAAAAAACATTACTATTTTAAAGCTTTACATAATATTAATACTTATCTAATCTCTTTTATTAACTCTAGCAGATCTTTGAAAATAAGCGAGAGCTTGATTGTTGACTGGGGTCCTGCATATACTAATTAATCAAATTTATGCCAAGTATTATAGTAAAAATTAATAATACAGATTATATATATATATTAGTATTTAAAAAAATTGTTTCACCTCGCGTACTAACAATTTTTTTCTAACAATTTTTGTGGTAAATGATTATTATGATATTGTAAAAAGAAGTTACAGTTTAAATTTTTATAATTCACACTTTTTGGTTAAAAGTTTATATGTAAAATTTTATAATTAAAAATATAAAACTGGAACTTCTTTTTACAATATCATAATAATCATTTACTACAAAAATTGTCAGAAAAAAATTGTTAGTACGCGAGATGAAGCAATTTTTTAAATACTAATGTTTTGCTAATCTATCGATTTTGCTGATATTATTAATTTTTTCTATAATACTTGGCATAAATTTGATTAATTAGTACGTATATGCAGGACCCCAATGATTAATATTCAGGGTGTTACATATCGGTTTAATTACTGCGAGGTAAGATAACTTTATTCGGTTATTGTTTTATACTTTTATAGAGGACGTCTAAAGCAATGTCCATTCATATGGTTTTGACTATTTAGTTAAGGGTTAGTTCGGGCTAGAGAAGAGCAATTTTACTATAAAAATATTATAGCCGACATTTTTTGTTAATACTTTGAGAGAAATATATATATAAAGTTAAGCATTGTATATATTTTATTTATTTTCAAAAAAAAGGAATATAAAGCTAAGCATCTTATATACATTTATTTATTATCAAAAAAAAAAAAAGAAATATAAAGCATAATAAGCATCGTTTATACATTTTATTGTTGATTAAAATGATTTACAATAAATTGTATTTGATCCCAAGTAAATTTAGATATCTTATCCGCGCTAAATTTACTAATATGTTGAATTTTTTCTACTCCAATATGTAAAAACAAAAAATATACTTTTGTAGATTTTTCTGTTCGTTTTCTTAAATTATCCCGATTAACACCTGATCGAAGTCTTTCAAATTCATCATAAAGTCTAGTCGTTGACCTTTTTTTAGAAAGTCTATTGCTAGACATTATTTCTGTAAGTTTACGTTCGAAGTTTTCACCATACTTGTACCACCGTTTGATTATTTCTCTTTT